GCGCAGGCGACTTATGTCTCCCAAGTCACAACGGGCGTACCAGTCATTGCAGATACACCCATCATCGGCTTTCAGAAGAAGAATTTGATCGGGCTTGATCTGCCGCACAATGATGCCCTAGTAATCTGCATCCAAATTGAACAAGCTGTGATCGAGCGAGTTCACGTGGACGAGGGCAGCGCAGCCAATATCCTGCAACTATCTGTTATCCAACAGATGGGATTGGAGCCCAAGATCAGCAAACTTGCCAGATCACTCACCGGCTTCAATGGGGCCACGTCAATCACTGTTGGGACAATTGACCTAGACGTCCGCTCACCCCCAGTGGTCTGCTCGCAAACCTTCATGGTCATCGACGAGGTCTCTCCCTACAACGGGATTTTGGGCCGACCATGGATCAACAAGATCGAAGCCATCACATCTGCTCTACACCAGAAGATTTGCTACCCCATCCCTGGAGGCGGTATCGGGCAGATCAACAGTGATCAAGCCATGGCAAGGAGATGCACAGCCCAAGGGCTCAAGAAGAGCAAACAACTGCAGTTCACACCAGTAATGCAGGCTACTGACGAGGCAGGAAACACTCCCAGCAGACAAGCAAGCCCGAACGGGAAGGGAGTTGCTACCTCAAAATAGCAATTAAGGAGCCAGGATCAAGGCGAGGGAATCCGCCCGGAAGACTCCCCTGAAAAGGGTTGGAAGCCTGAGGATGACGTTGAGTTAGTACCCCCTGATCCTGGCCAACCAGACAAAGAAGCGCAGATCGGCTCGTGCTTAAGCCCAGACGAGAAGTTGAAGCTGACCACCTTCCTCTAGAACAACAAAGACATGTTCACATGGTCACCATCTGACATGCATGGCAACGACTCGAACATCATCTGCCACCGGCTCCATGTCAACCCCGCCAACAAGCCAGTGGCACAGAAGAGACGCAACTTCGCTCTCGAGTGAGTCGCGATCATTGAAGCCAAGATCGACAAGCTTCTAGCTGCAGACTTCATCGAAAAGGCCTCCTACTCATAGTGGCTAGCTAATGTTGCTCTTGTGGTGAAATAAGAAGGGTTTGGGGTTTGCTACATGTCTTCTACCCTCATCCTTTATATCTTTTTTGGGAATTCGCTTTCTATATTCTCCATACCTCTCACAACCCAAAGTAACTCTAGGCTTCTTATTTCCTTTTCCACCTTGATCAGATCTTAAGGTCACAATAACAAAACCATTCACCCTTTCAACTTCACGAGCCCATCGTATTAATTCTTCTCTACTGTTAAATATCTGCATTTCACCGATTTCACATCATACATAAATTTACAAGAGTGTAAGAAAAAAAAATTACTTATTTCAATCAAACCTAACTGTAGACACCAAAATTTAAATTCTTGTGTTTACACTAACCTCATTCGTGGTAAATTCACTAGTACAATCCACTATATGTTCAAAGTCCACGTTACTACAACCAGAATATTCATCTCCCTGAAAAAAGAAAACAATAAACAATAGTAAGAATGTTCATCTCCCTATAACAGGGCCCCAGTCGTAGAAGTAATACAGCAGTAAAACGATAAAAGAAGCAAATTCACATCACGAAATTTAATGACAATGGTTGGTCAGCAGTCAAAAGATGACCAGCCCTTGAAACCAAAACTTGGCTCACGCTCCCCAATTTCTGAACGTACCCACCTTATTGTTAGGTCAGTACTTAAACAATTTCTTCACCTTCTCATGCCTTCAAAAATCCTTAGCCAAACTGGTTTTGTGAGGAATGTTCTTTGTGTAATCAACAGAGCCCAAATCGTAGAATTGTTGATTCATCCCCAGGTTTTCAGATTTTTAATTTGTTTAAGAAAAAAAATCAGAGTCCAAGAAATACTCATCTCCCAATGCTTTAAGTAATCCTAAAGATCTTAGAAATTCTGTTCAAATAGGATTACCTTACCTTTTCGCCAAAATCATTCTCTTCAACATCCATTCTCTTGTTGTTTTCTTCTTCATAAACAATTCTGTTGAAAAGCCTTCTTCACCTTCTCATGAGCAAGGAGTCAAATTCTTCTGGTTTTTTTTTCTTTCTATCAAACGATAGGGTTACGTACTTGAGAAGTCTATGTCTTTTTCTTTTTTCTTTTTCTTTTTTTCTCTTTCTTTTTCCTTAAGTCCTTTTAAGTCATTTTACAATAGGGTTAAATTTGTCTTTAAAAGTTTAAAGATAAGGTGGGTGGGAAAATATGACAGGTGGGTGGAAATAGCAGCACTCATGCATAAATGTAGTAGTCCCTACTTGCAGCAGTCAAACTTAGTTGCAACGGGGATATAATTATTTTGCTATACCCGACCAATAATACAATGACATGTGGAAGTGTTATCATGCGTATCAAAATTTTATTGGTCGGGAATAGCAAAATAGTGCTGTCCCGATTTCATAAAAGTCTTTTCTCCAAATAGGACTTCATTTCAGCTTAAAAAAACCAGATGGTGGCCATTTTTCAAGGAGTATATATCTTTCAAATGTAAGTAAAGGATTGTTTGGTTTCAAGGTTCCAGTTTAATTGGTATCAAGATTGTATGGTAGAATTTCAATATTTGATTGATGATTTGTTCTTTTTAATTGGATTATTATATCACTCAGCATTACCATGTGGCAGGAACAACTCCATACATGTCTCTCTAACTAGATAGGAGGCAGAGGAAATTTAGATGCCCAATAAATGATTTGATACAGTCAATAATGAAAGGCGATGTTGAGAGTACGCTGAATTGAAGATCAAACTGCATCAAGTTCTTAAAAGATCATGGAACTCTCCACTCATTATCCATTCGGTTTCGGTAATTTCCTCATTTTAGAGAATTGCTTTGGTAGTAACTATTGTTGGAAGCTTGAATGAAATCTGAGACACCTTTGTCCCACATTGGTAGAATAGAGAAAGAGATTAGTCCTTATAAGTGTGGAATGTCTCATGCTTCGTAAATGGACAATGGGCCAAGTGGAAGTAATTTGGGCTTCAAATTGTCTCTGGGCTTTAAATATTATTTATTTTAATTATCAAAAGATGGGCTGTCTTTAGGATAAGGCCTTTGAAAGTGCTTTTACTGATGAGTTTGATTCCAATACAGTCAAGAACTGATGCACTATTGCAGTTCACCGCCTGTCCTTTCATGAATTTTATTCGCATAGGTTTTTCAAGGTTTTTGAGAAGAGTAGATGCAGTTTGAAACCTATATATAGGAAGTGCTTTTAGTGATGAGTTTGATTCCCAAAAGGCAAGAAGGCACCACTTGAGATCAAGTTCCAAAAAGAAAAATTGTGTTAGAAGAGGTTTCCTGATTGGGAACGTACGTCAAGATCTTCAAGCTCCATCACTTTTCCATGGATCGTGATGTTTTTAGGCTCATTCCTTTTGTTTTGGTAGTAACTATGAGCTTAGAAGTTGGCATTGAATTTCAGAAAGTCTGCCTTGATTGTAATATCATGAGTCATTTGGTTCCATAAAGGGCATGTTCATATGATATTATAGAAATCCTCCTATGAAAATGAGATTGCTCGAGTTCTATTTTTGTTGCTCCTCTTCTTGGATGCTCAAGACCAAAAGCATTAGTTAAAAGAGGTATTAATACGTAATATTGATTTTGCAAGCATAGTTCTT